AGCACATCTCAGTTTGCTTGCAAAGTTCCCAGTGCAATTCATCCCTCACTAAAAAGTTAGGGCATCCTGGTAGATTAAGAGGATGGTCACAATAGCAAGGGCTGCTGTTTCCTGGGCACTTGGCATGCACTTTCATATTTAATCTTCCCAAGGACCCTGTGATGCATGCCCTATTAACATTCTCAATGAACAGACCAGGAAACAGGTTCAGAGCAGAGCAGAGGCCCAGCACATACTGCCAACAAGTGTCAGACCCAGGATTCCACTCATTAACTCTGCCAAGTCAACAAGGGTTCAAATTAGCACATAGTAGGCCCGCTGGGTATTTTCTGGATTGGATACAATTCTCTAACTTGTCCAAGGGGAACAATACTTTGGTCTCTGGCTTCGGTCTTTAACAAGATCCCAACGCTGGACTCTGGCTCTGGTCTTAAGGACACAGAGCTGCCATCCTGTGTCCAGAAGCCCTTGACAAGGGTCTTATCCCAAGGACCCGATTCTTGACGACCTTGTGCTCACATCGCTCCTCGACTCAGGAAGATCTAGACAAGCCCATTCTGTCCCCTGAGAGCAAAAGCTTTGGTCTGAAAAACTGATCTTGTTTCTGTCTGTTTGCTTCTGGAATTAAAACATGAAAATCCACAGGAGGCTTGCAGATTCCCACTGAGACCAATCGGCGACATTTTCAAACACGATGAGCTGTTTGTCAACTACGTGTTCTGGAGCAGAGGATGGGGGAAGGGTTTGGAAAGGTGCCAGCAGCCTCCCGCAGGGCTGCTCATCTGCAGTCTGCAGATGGAGGCAATTATCCTAGGCAGGGCCTCTCGGGGACCCCCAGCCCTGCTTATGTCTCTGGAGCCACGTGTGTTCAGATGCTTGCATTTCCTGTGCACAATAACACTGGCAATGGTGTGGTGGTGGGGTGTGAGCCATTGACTTCAGGTCAGGCTGGCTCCTGACCAGATTGTGAGCTGCAGGAATGTGTCCTTGGAGGGTCTTCACTGGGGACTAGGCCTAGAATCTCACATGTGTTCAGTTTTGGTCACTGAGCTGCTTTGTAATGGCAGAAAATAAAGGAGGATCAACAGAGAAATCCAGGAAGAGATGCGGCGGCAAATAAGGGAGAATAGGGGCAGGTGAAGTGTCCATTTCCATGGAAAACTGATGAGACTTGGGAGTGGCTGAATTCCGTTATGACTGGGGCTCTTTGGGAAGGGTAGGTGAGCTTCATTATACAGGAGTCCACTGTATCCTTTAAAAGTAACGGGAAGAAACAGCAGGCTGAGGGGCATTGACACACCAAATGGAAGATCTTCCCAATAGCATGGCACAGACTCTGCATAAAGAGAGTGAGGCCTCCATCATAGGAGGCATTCAAGCAAGGATGAAAGGATATCTGCCAGGAATGCCACAGCAGGCAGACTTCAAAGTGATCCCCACCTCTTGGTGTTCATGCCTTTGTGTAATGCCCTGACCCCGAGTGTGGGCAGGACCTGAGCCTTGCTTCTAGCCTATAGAATACAGCAAAGGGGATGAGCTGTCACTCTTGGGATCACATTATGTTATATAAGACTGTCTCGGGTGACAGGAGCTAGAGATTCTCCTTGTGGACTTGATGAAGGAAGTGGCCCACACAATGGGATCAGAGAGGTCCACATGATTAGGAAATGTAGGCAGCCTCTAGGACCTGGGGTAGGGACTCTCTCAACAGCCAACAAAAGGCCATGGCCCTGGGTCATACAGCTGCGAGCAAATCAATTCTGCCAATGAATTTTTGCTTAGAAGCTAATTCTTCCCCTCTCAAGCCTCCAGATGAGAACACAGCCCAGCCCATACCATGATTGCATCCTTGTGAAATCCGGAGCAGAAGACCCGGTTAAGCCAAGCCCAGACTCCTGACCCCCAGAAACTATGAGAAAATAAATGAGTGTTAGTTTAAGCCCCTACATTTGTAAGAATGTGTCATGCAGCAATATAACATGAATCCAGACACTGTGGGATGGGTGCTACCAGTCTATCTCTATCCTCCTGCTGGGCTGGGTTTCCTAGTTATCTGATAACAAATCATCTCAAAAAAGTGGCTTAAAATTACAGAAACCATTGATTATCCCTCACAGTTTCTGTGAGTAGGAATTGGACGGTGGCTTGGCTGGGCAGCCCTGGCACAAGGTCATTCATACAGCTGCAGACATGTCACCTGGGGCAGCAGTTATCTGAAGGCTTCATAGGGGATCGAGGAGCCACTCACATAGCTGGCAGTTTGGTACTAGCTGTTGGCTGGGGGCCTCAGTTCCCCTCCAAGAGGGCCTCTCCACGGAGCTGTTTAAGTGTCCTCACAACAAGGTGGCTGGCCATGGTGGATGCTTCAGTGTCTTTTATGGTTTGGAAGCCACACAGCATCACTTCCACTGTATTTAGTTGGTCACACTGGATCAGCCTTGATGCAGCATGGGAGGGAACCACACACAGGAGAGTATGAATAACAGGAGGCAGGGACCTCTGGGGACCATCCTAGAGGCTGGTCATCATACTGGTCTTCTTTCCCTCCAGCATGCTGCCTGCTTGCTCTACTCCAGCTTTTGCAAAGAAAGTTTGGTGCCCTTTGCCAGACTCCATCTCTCCCCTACCTTCCATCACCCCTTCAGCTTATCTTTGAGGTCTCAGCAGAAGTCAGCCATAGCTTTGTGGGGCCCAAAGCTTATGTACTTAAGGGGCCCTCTTCAAGATCAAAAAGAGAAAACCACCTTGCTTCTGCAAACTTTCCTAATCACATGACCATTGCTAGGGCCCATCCTAGGGCCTCAGGAGGTGCCTGTGCAAACAGGGGGCCCTGAAGCTTCATCTTCACCAGGATCACAATGAATTCTCCTCACTTCCTCAAGAAGTTCTGCCCAATCTCTAGGATGAGTAACCTCCATTGCTTCAGTCTCCCTGCATGTCACCTGTATAATTAGGCATTTAACATCTCCTTTGGCCTCCAGGGACCAGGTCTTATTCAAAACCTCTTTTTATGTACTTGCTGTCAGAGAATGATCTAAATGCCATGGACACAATAGAGAACCAGGGCCAGACAAGCTCCATGCCATCCTGTAATCTATGTTCTGGTGGGAGATAAAGGGGTTATAAATATATAACAAGAAAAAATTTGAAAGATAACTTCAGCTAGAGACGGGTACAATGGAGAAAGTGAACCAGGGCAATGAGCGATCAAAGACAGCCTCTCTGAGACCAGGATGATGAGAGGGAAGATCCAGGGAGATAAGTGTCCTGGCAGGGGGAACAGCAAGTACAAAGGACCTGAGACAAAAAGAAGACTTGGGTGTTTAAGATTGAGCAGAGAGGCCAGTGCGGCTGGAGCCTAGTGACCAAGGGGAGCAAGGGGCAATGAGGACAGAGGGATAGGTAAAGGACAGACCAGGTAGGACTTTGCAGAATAAGCAAGAAGTCTGGATTTTATTTTATTTAGGTAAAATTTACATACCATAAAAGTAATCACTGTAAAGCATACAATTCAGTGGCATTCAGTATCTTCACAATGTTATGCAGCCATCACTTCTGCCTAGTTCTGGGTTTTATTCTAAGTCAATGAGACACCACTGGAGAGTTCTGAGCAAGGGGTTTTGAGCAGTGTTAGCATGTGCTCATCCCAGAGGTGTCCCATCCAAGGCCACACGTGGGAAGGCAAGGTGTGTTTCCAGCAGAATTTCCCCAGGCCACGTCCTCCTTCCCTTTCTGGAAACAAGACTTGCCCCAAGACATCTGCTTCCCTTTTCCTTCAAACTCTTCCTTCTCTGCTCTTCAGAGCAAGCTAGCTAAGGTGGGGGGATGGCAGAAGAGGGGGAGGAGGGAGGAAGATGGGCTTTTAATTTCCAGCCTCCAATGTCAAAAGGCAATTTCATGCCTGCTGCTGTGGTTAGGCTAGCAGAAGGGACCAAGGCTGGTGGCTAATGCAGGGCTGGCTCCTGAGGATTCAGAGTTCCTGATTTTTTTCCCTCATAGGGACAAGAATTTCTAGCAGTGTTCAACCCTGCCTTCCGCTCCAGTGATACACCTCAGAACCTTGGGGCGTAGACCATGGTGTTAGTGGAGAGGATACTAATTTGTCATAGACCACAGCCTTAACTCTGCTCCCAGCAGCCTCCGATTCTCTGAACCACTGCCGGGCACAGGTCCCATTCTTTCCATCTCGTGGAGGGTAAATATGCAGGATGCTCGGGTCTGAATCCTGCTGCTGCCACTTGTCAGCCACGCAACCTTGGGCAAGTGCTCTAATTTCCCCTTGCCTCAGCCTCCTCACCAGGAAATAAGGACACGAACAGCCCCTGCCTTGTAGGGGTGATGTGAGGATTAAATGAGGTAATGCAGGCACACGGGGGACTTGCATGAGAGATAATAAGCTGATGCGGGCACACAGTGGGCATGTGTGAGAGATAATTAGGTAATGTGGACACCAATAGATGTTATGTCAGTGTTCGCTTAAAAAGATAAGAAAAGGCAAAAAGAACACAAGATAGAACCCAAAATGTTACAAGAGCCTTTGAGGCTGGAAATCTAGACATTTATGTGAATCCAAGAGATTTTTACAACCTAGTTGGCAACCAGTTTAAACTTATTTTAAAACACTCTGTGGCCCCCAAAAGCCATCTCTCTGCCAGGCAGATGCTGTGGTCAACCTGGGACCCAGGGCTTCAGACTCTGCCTGTCAGGCTGACAGAAGTCTACTGTTCTAGAATCTTTTCTGAAATATCTTTACTCTCCAGGTTTCCATGAGCTTGCCTGACAATGTCATGGAGTGTCTACTGTGTACTAAGCATATAAGCAAAATAAACTCATCAGAAGCCTAAGAGGGAAATATGTGTGTCCCATTGCACAGAGGAGCAGACTGAGGCCCTGAGAGCTATAATCCTTTTGCTCACAGTTTCCCAGGCAGTGAGTTTCCTAGCAGGAATTTGAACTACTATTTTTCCTCCACCCTCACACCTTCCCAAATTTCTTTTCAGGCTCCAGGCAGGCTGGTCCGTCCACCCCAGTGGTCAGCCTGACAGGCAGAGGAAGCAGGAAGAGCTGACCGATGAGGAGAAAGAAATCATCAACAGGGTGATTGCTCGAGCTGAGAAAATGGAAGAGATGGAGCAGGAGCGAATCGGGTGAGGCTTACACTTCCCATTCACCCCAGAGCCGCTAAGGCAGGAGGGTGTGCTGGGCTGCCTCTGGGCTTTGCCATTTGTGACTTATGGGGCCACCTCCCTGCACCCCCTCCAACTTCCCCACTGGCAGACGTGGGATCTTTGTTGCATGAGGTGGGAGAGTTGGGAGAAGAGAAAAGGGACTAGAGGAGAGAGTGGGCTGTGAGTGAGGAGTTTCTTGCCTGAGGGTGCATTGAAGAAGGGGCAGGGGGAGGGGTATTGTGATAGGGAAAGGGGAGATGTCATTGGAGGCTTCAAGAAGTGGGGTGGGTGTGAGCATGAGGTGTCTCAGCTAATCACAGCTGCATAGGGATGTGTTCTAGAAATGAGAGCCATGTGGGTGTCAGAAGGTATAGCTGAAGGCAAGGTTAGGAGGACAGAGAGTAGGTAAAAAAGAGTGTGTAAGAGAGAGCATGTTTGAAATTAGTTATATAAGACAATTGGAGAAACCAGTCCTATAAGGGTCAGACAGCATGTGAGTGAGGAAGCAGAGGTTAACCTGATGGGTCCGGACTCCAAGAACCCGGGGTCCCATGCCAGCTCCCTACTTGCCTACTGTGGATCTTGGGCAAGTTGCTTAACCTCTCTGAGCCCCAGTTTGCTCACTGGCAGAATGGGGGAAATAACAGTAATTATCCTATAAGACTCTTGTAAGCATTGAGATGATGCATGCACAGTTCCTGACCCAGGCTCTGGTGGCACTATGTGTTTGATAAATGGTAGGAAGGAGGGGAAAGTGGGGCTCAGAGGGAGGGGATAATGAAAACATGTTTGGGAGAGAAGCAAGGCTTATAAGAAGGATGTGTGATGAGTGGAAGAGAGTGACAAAATCAATGAGCAGGGACAATACCAGAGAGCAAGGAGTGCCATGGGTGTGGGCTGGAGCTGGGGGACTGGGGAACGTGTGGGGCATCATCAGGGAGGGAGAATAACTTAGAGAAGGGAGTGAGGGTATGTGTTTGGGGAGCTTTTGGTATAAATGGAGACTTTGGCTGCCGGGATACAGAGAGGCCATTGGAGTAGTCTTCCTAGATCCAAATATCAAACAGGAAATGGGAAGGCAGGATGCTGGGACACCACCACCACCCTGTGCCCCTCCCCAAGCCCTCCTGCCGGGGGCAGCCATTGCCAACTGCTTACAACAGATTTGGGCACTGAGGTGCCCACTGATCTCCCTATCCAGTCCCTCAGCCAGGGGTTAACGAGGTTCTTGGATGGAAAATGATGCTCTGGGGATGTAGGAAGTGGGTGCCTTTGATTCGATCCAGATAATTGCACTTAGGGCAGGCTGGGGAAATCAGAGGTGTTGTTGATAAGTGACAAACAAACCTCAGGATGTGTCACAGGATGTGTCAGCTTCACACTTGACCCTCTGTCAGCCTCCTCAGGTGGTCACCAAGCAGATGGGTCTGAGAGGCTTGCTGATGGGGTTAGGTTTTTATTTTGCTTTGCTTTTTAAAAGATATTTCAGGAGTGGAAAGTTCTCCAGGCTGGCAGTGTGTGTGCGTGTGTGTATGCATGTATGCATGCGTGTGTGCGTGTATGTGCATGTGTGTGTGCACATGTGCATGTATGTGTGTGCATGTGTGTGTGTGCATATGTGTGTGTCTTCATACAATGATGGGCCTCAGTCATGAGGGAAGGAAATGTATGTATGTTAAAGGTAAACAGTGAAAACAAGAACTCTGCTCAACCTTTTTCTTGCGTGGCACTTATCACCAGCTATCACATTTTATATTTCACATATTTTCTTTAACTATTGTATGTCTCTCCCCACCAGATTAAGATTCCTAAGGATAGATATTTTTGCTGGTTTTATTCACTGCTGTATTCCCAAAGCCTGGTGTATAACAGGTGCACAGCAAAGTATTTGTGAGTGAATGAATGAACATGGAAGATGAGGCTGTCTCCTAACTTCTTTCTACATTGCCTGTGGCCAAGAGGCTTGGGGGTTTATAGTCTTATCCAGGGTCCAAATTCCCAGGGAAAGTACTCTGACTGTCTTATGTCAGATACTATCCCTTGTCCAATCAACTGCAGCCAGGCATGCCAAGCCCTGTTGTATCAACATGGCCACTGGGCTGCCTCTGGGGGTCAGGTTAAGCAGGTCTTTGTGGACTGAGCAGATCCCAGCTTAAATGATATAGAACAGGGTAAATGGGGTCCCTGTTTTATCTTCAATGTCCTGCTGTATTCTCCCTACCAACCTGGTGACATGGTGGCAGAGCATTGTGGTTAAGAACTGGGGTTGCCAAGTCAGGGAGACCTCGATCCAAATTCCAGTTCTGCCACTTACCCGCTGTGTGCCCTTAGATAAGCCACTTTACCTCCCTGTGCCTCAGTTTTCTCATCTGCAAAATGGGGATAACATTATCACATACATCTGGGCGAGTATTTAATTAGCATGCAAAGGATTATTATGGTGCCTTGTACAAAGTACATGCTTAATAAATAGTGGCAATTATTTAATTGTGAGGTTTGTTTGTTTTTTTAAGAGAAAGCTCACTGTTGACACTAGCCGAAGCCTTTGTTCTAGAAGTCTGCCCTGAGACTCCTGTTTGGCAAGTCCTGAAACTCTAGCAGCCCCTGGCTTCCCCTGAAGGAGATTTGAGAGGCTTCCAGGGGAGCTTGGGCCAAGTCTTTGGTGACAGAATGTCCCTTTGCTGAGACAGTGTGTTTTCTGCCTGGCTTCCCAGAGTGGGGAGGACAGTCCCGGAAGATTCTGGCTGTGGTTGTTCCACAGCGCCCTGCCTGCAGCCAGCCCTTGCTGGTAGCATCGCCAGAGGCAAACCCAATGCTATTTGTGTCTTCTAAGCTCAAACCTGCCCTGATTACTGTTCCACCCACACTTCCCTGGGAAGGGATCAGAGAGGAGTCAGATGAAAGCCAAGTGAAACATCAGACATGGAGCCAAACTGAAAATGGGGGTGCTAACTGGGGCTCCCACTGCAGAACATGAGGATCTCAGTTAGTGAGCTCTAGGAATCTCAGTTTCCCCATCCATCAAATGACTCAGTCTCTTTCTCAGGATTCTTTCTGCGCAGACTCTACAGTATTTTGGGGGTGTCTGGTGAGGGGCCTCACACCCTATTGTTGGCTGTACCTCTCAGAGTAAATGAGCTCCTTCTATGTTAAAATTTCCGATGTAGCTCTGTCCCTTACTGGGTCTGGACATCAGCCCCATGATGCTAAATGTTCTTTTTTATTACCTGAGTGAAAGCTGTCTGGGAGAGTTACGAAATCACTGTTAATAAGCATGATAAATAATCATCATGATGGGTGTCATTTATTAAGCACTTACTATGTGCCATGTCTAAAAACTTCATTTGAATTAACTCATTAACTGCTCCTCTCAACCCTGTCAAGTAAGCTATTATTATCCCCATTTTGCAGGTGAGGAAACTGAAGCTCAGCCAACTTAGGTTATTTGCCCAAGGTCATATGCAGGCAAGGTACACATCCCTATTTGGCTGACTCTCGGAACTATGCTCTTAAATGTCTCAGATGTTTTTCCTGAAGATGTGTTCCCAAATTCCTAGGCTCTGCAGAGCATGGAAATTTTAATTACTCAGGTTTGGAGGGGACATTTTGAGAACTGGAAGCTGAAACCCTTTCTGTGCTGGCCCAATGATTATTTCCAGCTCTTATTAACCTGTCCGTACCTTCCAAAGCTGCCAGGGCTAGTCTGCATGCTGCTGTGGTTCTGAGAGTTCCAGGAGAGAAATGCCCTCAGGCTTCCCAGGAAGCATTGCCTCCCTGGGGCAGTTTTGCAAGAGTTAGCTGCCCCAGGGAGCCCCAGGCCATGCACAGCAACCCAGAGCTGCTTCATTCCATGGAGCTCATGTGCTTCTGCCAGGAGGAATCTAAATCTTCACTCACCACTTAGCTCACAACCCAGCTCTGTTCTCTTCAGCATCCCAGGAGGGAGAGAGGATGGCCAGAAGAGAAACTCATTAACCAACCTCATTTTGCCCCCACATTTCTTATATAAGTGCCAAGTGGGATTTCAGAGTTTATTTTGCATGCCCGACTGCTACAGACTTTCTATATTAGTTAGGACACTTTGCTTACAAGAAAGGAAACTAATTCCAGCTAGGTTGTTTCAGTCATCTATTGCAATATAACAAACCACCCAAAACTTTGTGGCTTAGAGCAAAACAGTGTATTATTTTTCATGATTTTATGGGTTAAGGATTCAGATAGAGCTCTGCTAGGCAGGTTTTCTGTTCCAGGGGACATGGGCTGGGTTTGCTCACTCAGCTGCATTCAGCCGGTGGTTGGGCCAGGCTGGAAGGTACAATAAAGCTTTACTCCCCTGTCTGTACCTTGGTACTCTTCAGGTAGCCCATCTCTTTGCATTTCATCCTTCCTTATTCATTAGTCTGGCCTGAGATCCTTTACATGGCAGTTGGATCCCAAGGGAACAAAGATAGGTGTTGCCCGGTCTCTTAACAGTGAGGTCTGGAACTGGCAGGTATCACTTTCTATTGAGAACAGGAAATAGATCCTATCTCCTTATGTGATAACTGTCATGTGCATGCAGAGGAGGAAGGCATTACTGGTGGCTATCTTTATCTCATTATGCAGAAAGAGAAGTTTAATATAAGGGTTCATACATATCTCCAGGGATCTGAGGACAAGAACACAGCCTAGCCTCATGAAAGGCCTACTTCTCATCCCACATATTAGAAAATATAGCCATGCTAGCTAGAGCCTCCCAGTTTTTATAGCTCTTAGTCTCAATCCCAAATTCCCAGGGAAGGAACTCTGATTGACCTAGCTCGCCCTAGATGCCCGCCCCTCATCCTATCAGCAGTGGTCAGAGGTGCCAGGCTAGACACACGTGGCTGCTGAGTACTTCTCCTGAGCATAAAAGGGCCTCGTTGTGAGTTGCAAAGCCACACCTAGGTTACTCACAAGACTTTTAGAATGTATTAAGTTTGGAATTAGACATTTGCCTC